CTTGGGTGAAGAAACGGGGTGAGTCTCGCAACAGCCAGTTAGAGCTAGCACAGCAAGAGTAACTGCACCCATTCTGCACACTGCACCATTAGCTGTAGAAGGAGTTTAGCACAGATAAACCAGAATATGACCATAACATCCAGAGTTCAATGATGAGGAGAGATGAAGGAGCTGTACAGCAGGGAAACAGACCCTTCAGTCCAATTCGTCCATGCCGACCAGTTATCCTAAATAAACCTAGTCCCATTTGTCAGCATTTGGTCTGTATCCCTCTAAACCTTCCTATTCATATATGCATCCAGATGCCTTTTAAATGTTGTAATTGTACCAGCCTCCACCACTTCCTCTGGCAGATCATTCCATACGCGCACCACCCTCTGCGTGAAAAAGTTGCCCCTTAGGTCTGGGAGAGGGGTGGTTCAGCAATGATTTGTCTGGTGATTTTAGGATTTCTAAAGCAATTTTCAGGATGGTTAGCGAGAGATGTTTTCCACAGCTGTGGATGCTTGGTCCAAGGTCACCACCCCTTAACATTCAATGGTGTTACTATCACTGAATCCCCCACTATCAACATCCTGGGGGTTACCGTTGTCCAGAAACACAACTGGACTTGTCACATCAATGCAGTGGCTACAAGAGCAGGTCAGAGGCTAGGAATACAGCAGCAAGTTACTCACCTCCTGGCTCCCTAAATCCTATCCACAATCTACAAGGCACAAGTCAGGAGTGTGATGGAATACTCCCCACTTGCCTGGATGGGGGCAGCTCCAACAACACTCAAGAAGCTTGACACCATCCAGGACAAAGCAGCCTGCTTGATTGGCACCACTTTTGGAATATTGTGTGCAATTCTGGTCTCCCTACCATAGGGAAGATGTTGTGAAACTTCAATGTGCTCAGAAAAGATTTACAAAGATGTTGCCGGGGTTGGAGAGTTTGAGCTATAGGGAGAGGTTGACTAGGCTGGGGCTATTTTCCCTGGAGTGTCAGAGGCTGAGGGGTGATCTTATAGAGATTTATAAAATCATAAGGGGCATGGATATGGTAAATAGACAAGGTTTTTTCCCTGGAGTGGGGGACACCAAATCTAGAGGACATAGGTTTAAGGTGAGAGGGGAAAGATTTAAAAGGGACCTAAGGGGCAACTTTTTCACACAGAGGGTGGTGTGCGTATGGGATGAGCTGCCAGAGGAAGTGGTGGAGGCTGGTACAATTACAACATTTAAAAGTCATCTGGATAGCTATATGAATAGGAAGGGTTTAGAGAGATATGGGCCAAATGCTGGCAAATGGGACTAGATTAATTTAGGATATCTGGTCAGCATGGACGAATTGGACTGAAGGGTCTGTTTCTCTGCTGTACAGCTCTATGACTGTATCCACTACTGATACTCAGTAGCAGCAATGTGTAGCATCTGCAAGATGCATTGCAGAAATTCATCAAAGATCTTCAGACAGCACCTTCCAAACCCATGACCACTTCCATCTAGAAGGACAAGGGCAGCAGATATTTGGGAACACCAGCCCCTGCAAGTTCCCCTCCAAGCCACTCACTGTCCTGACTTGGAAGTATATCGTTGTTACTTCACTGTCACTGGCTCAAAATCCTGGAATTCCCTCCCTAAGGCCATTGTGAGTCAACCTACATCCCATGGACTGCAATAGTTCATGAAGGCAGCTCACCCCCATCTTCTCAAGGGGCAACTAGGGACGGGTGATAAATGCTAGACCAACCAATGACACCCATATCCCATGAGTGAATAAAAATAAAGGAGCATTACATTAACATTCAAGCCAGATATTTCAGGAGAGAAATTAGGAAACATTATTTTCAAACAAAGGATGGGAGCAGCATTGAACTCTCTCCTATAAAACAGTGGTGGCTGGAGCTGAGGGGAGGCAGTGGTCTGGTGGTAATACCACTGGGAGCTAGTAATTGATGACATGGGCTCAAATCCCACTCTAGCAGATGGTGACATTTGAATTCAATAAAAAAAATCTAATGGTGACCATGTAACCCTTTGATATTTAACAATTCAGTATTGTTAAAAACACATCAGGTTCACTAATGTCCTTCAGGAAAGAAAATCTGTCAGCTTTACCTGGTCTGGGTCTACATGGGACTCCAGCAATGTGGTTGACTCTTAACTGTCCTTTGGGGATACAGAATAAATGCTGCCCAAGCCAGTGGTTTCCACATCATTTGAAATTAATAATGTTGTATCTGAGATTGATAGGTGTTTTGTAGGAAAACTCAGCAAGGAATTGGAATCCATTTGGATCAGGTGTGATCTCATCCAATGGCAGGACAGGCTTGAGAGGATGTGTGGCCTGTTTTTGTTCTTCACTTCCAACCGGTGCCCTTAGAACATACCCAGCATTTCCCCGGGCAGGGACAAGACAAGCCCTCCCCACTCTAAATTCCAACTGTTCAGGGAACAAACCTTCCAGGCACCTCCATACTCAGTGTGCGATAGGAATTGATTTTGCCAGGTGTATTCCTCTGAGCATTTCCTTTATAATTCCCATCCCTTACTCCCCTCCTCTACAACCTACCTCAATCCCTTCCCTACCTCAATCCCTTCCTCTACCACTCCCCTCCCCTATCTCCCTCCCTTCCTCTACCGCTCCCCTCCCCCTATCTCACTCCCTCCCTCTACCACACCCCTCCCCTACCTCACTCCTTTCCTTTACCACACCGGTCCCCCTACCTCAGTCCCTCCCCCTCCCTCACTCCCTTCCCTCTACATCAACTTCTCACCTCCCTTCCATGTCACTCCCTCCCCCTCCCCTCTACCTGATCCCTCTCCTCTCCCTTAGCAGCTTCTTCCCTGGCAGGAATCGACAGACAGCATTGAACTTGAGAGACTTTCATTTCTGTAGCACCTGTCATCACCTCAGGATGTCCCAAGCTGCTGTGCAGCCAACAACTGCTGGAAACACAGTGGCTGATTTGTACACAGCAAGCTCCCATGATCAGCTCCATGACCAGGTAAAGGTTAAAGGTCTCTGCAGCTCAGATGTGACCTTGAAGAATGCAATTACTGCAGCAAATGATTGGGAAAAGGTGGACCCAGGCTAGTGAAAGAAAGATTGGCAGGCTGAGAGATTAAGCAAATGTCAGAATGGAGAGAGGGACTGAAAGGTTGGTGGCGGGGGGGTGGTGCTGGGGTAAGAAAGAGGGAGATAGCATCAAGCAGAACTATCGAGTGTGGTTTACTGTCAGTGAGATAAGGAAAGGGCCATTTTATCCTTTCATCTCATTGGAGAAGTCAGTGGAAGCACCATCCTCTCTCCCTGTTCACAGCCCGTTAATATATGGGCTGACAGAGATGGGAGCTGATGTTATTAACGTGCACAGGCTCCAGGCACAGTTTTTGCAAGACTTAGATAATGACCATTACCTTCTCAATCTTGTGGATATAATGCGTTTTTGACATCTGATCACAGCCGCTGTTTCAGGAGGAGAGGCTGATATCAGGGGCTAGGTGACATCATGATGAAGTGTCACTTTACAGACATAATGGTATCTTGGAGCAGGAACAGCAGGGAAAGCCAGAGAGACACCTCCCTGGGGGAGCCCTGGCTGATAGAGCGGAGAGACAGAGAGTGCTGGGAACAGATTGTCTCGTTACATGCAAGCTGCTGGGGGCAGCGTGGGGTGTTGGGGAGATCCACATTTCAATTTCCAGTACGGTTTCACCACAATTACAATCCTTTCTCTAAAACCGGGCAAATCAAATTTCCCAATGAATCCAGTAATCTGCTGTCCTGAGAGATTCTGTTACAGACTGGAACTTCTTGTACCTGGTCTCTAATGTCAGCAGTGGTTCAGTAAGAAACACCATCACATGAGGGAGCGCTGCACTGTTGGAGGGTCAGTGCTGAGGGCGTGCCGTACTGTTGGAGGGTCAGCACTGAGGGAGTGCCGCGCTGTCACAGTGTCAGTGCTGGGGGAGGGGCACTGTCGGAGGGTCAGTGCTGAGGGAGCATCGCACTGTCGGAGGGTCAGTACTGAGGGAGGGCCGCACTGTTGGAGGGTCAGTGCTGAGGGAGCCCAGCACTGTCGGAGGGTCAGCACTGAGGGAGTGCTGCACTGTCGGAGGTTCAGTGCTGAGGGAGGGCGACACTGTTGGATGGTCAGTACTGAGGGAGCGCCGCACTGTTGGAGAGTCAGTGCTGAGG